AAAAAAAAAAAAAAAAAGAATCGTTCTCAAACTTTCTCTATCCAGTTTCACGTCCTTTCCCTTTTATTCTATTTTCAAGGATTTCTTCTTTGCTTTCGCGTACACTTAGAAATACGCACACGCTCTGTAATTTCACGCAGACGCAAATGGTCTCTGTCTCCTTTCAGATTTTACTTCGCCCGCTTTTATCTTTGTCTATTTTTAGTTTCATCCTTTTTTCCTAAATCTTATTTAAACGAAACAAGTTTTTCCTAAACTTAGACTTGTCCTCTCCACTGGAGAATATATGTCGGATTATAGCACAGTTGAGTTCATTGTTGTGGATAATTTTACGTCATTATTACTAAAATTAAAAATAAATCAATATAAAGGCAATCAGTTAAAATCACTAGTAAATAGTATTGCAAATAAACACTTTAGACTCGCACGATTTCATAAATACGTCAGAAATTAAGTACTGTTATTAAAGACTATAATGAAGAATTGTGGTAAAACTCCGTTTATACCTATATACTCCATTTATTTGAATTCATAAGTAGTAGAGAAAACGAATTAATTCCTAGTATATGCGTTTCAGTTATATGAACTGCTTGTTTCCTGTCACTTTCGTACAGACGCAATTTTACCGTATTCGAAATTCTTCCTCGATCGAAAAACATTAAAGAAACGATACCGACGACATTGTCGATCAAGTTCTATCATCTTACTGTATTTCTGGCTTTCAAATGTAACTATGATAAAATAAACAAGGAGTTAAACAGATTGCGGAAAACATTATAAAGAAGATAAAAAAAGCACCAAGCTGGTTAAAAAGAAAATATAATTAATTGCGAAATGTCTTCTTCGAAAAAATGAAATGCAAATAAAGTGAAAAAAGGAAATTTAGAGTATTACTTTAAATAGGTCATCAACTTCCTTCATACGCGTATTGTCGATTGTTGAAATATCATTCGAAAGTACGGTTAACTCACGATTTATTTTGCGTCGCACTGTATCTGCGACAATATCAGGTCGTGGACTATACGGAGTCTTTTGCATTCCCCACTCATATGGTAGCATCTACAAACAATATACACGTAAATACGTATAACGCTTATACCTTAAACAATATCAAACGTATAGAATATAGAATGTAGCGTTTCAACCCTTAACGCTGCGACCTTTAATTGTGAATATCGACCAGCAGCTCTAACTTATTCTCATCATACTTCGACTTGCAAGTTTTTAAATGTCAGATCTTAAATGCTACAATGACGTGTAAATAACAATATTAAAATCATTCAAAACAATCTTTATTCATCTCAGAAGTAATATAATTTTGATTACAATATTTATATTAATTATAATTGAGTAATGTATGGAATTTTTTAAAACATTCATCGGGATGCAAACCGTGTTTGCGTTCACAGGTTTCACAGTAGAAACTGTTTGTTTTTTTTGCCGCATTACTTCATTTCGGTGAACAAACAAGACGCTTTTTCTTTTCCTCTTTCGGCATTAGTAAAACATAATTGAAAGTACTGAATAGGCACACATAAATTGTGTACCTGCGGACCAGGAATTTTTGTACCAGTCGAAAATTCAAATTTGTTACGACCGTTCCCGGAGAGACGCGTTCGCGAGGAAAACGCGTCAACGAGAGGCTTAAATTCTCGCTACGATTCCGATAATCGACGCCGCGAATTAATCTTAATCTTTTCGATTAAGATAACAGAAGTAGCTCAAATGATTTTAACACTGATGAGTTTAACAGGGTTAATATAAACTTGTATATTTAACAATATTTAATATTATAATGAGCACGTCACAAATTATTTAACGATGAATACAATTAGTTTGTTACAATAATTCGACCAGACTTTATGATATTTCTCGATGTATTGGTTAGACTAAGCGACCTGTATTTTATTCGTTTGAACATCTCGATACATTCCGTTTGAATCCTCAAATGATACTGATTGCCCCTTCGATTTTTTCTTTATCTTCTCTGGGAGACGACCCCCACTACGCTCGGGTCACGTCGCCGTTCGCGCCTATGATCACGAATACCACCTTCTTTGTGTAGATGAAATAACGGACCGAAGGCGAATCGACGTTTCTAGAACTCGCTGCTTGATGACAACTATGCGCTTGTCACTACATTGTATATATTTCGCCGGTCCTATAAGACGATCCGTCTGCGACACTGTAGTACCACGAGCGACGGTTAGGGACACGGCCTATGATAAGCCTCATGGTGTAACAAAATTGTAGTGGAATGATATCTTTGTTAAAAATTTCCTGCCAATCAGAAGATCTTACGTTACAAATACTCTTAGTTAGATTCTCTTGCTGTAATTCTCCATCATCTGCACTTCCGTCACTCGATGAAAGTTTTCTTATTTTTCTTCTTCTTCCTGGAGCAAGAATATCACTATCGCTGCTGTCACTATAACTGCTTTCTAAGTCAACAGTTACATCGTTATAGATGCAAAAATCAAAATTGTCATCGTCACTATCTATATTTTCCTCACAAAGACACATATCTTCCTCACATTTTTTTTCTCGACATAATTAAAATAAATGGGTTTAAAATAAAACAGGTTCAGATCTGATTGCCTTTATCGATCGCTTGTAACTGACTGAGGAGTATTATTTTTTATTTGTAAACGATTACCAATAACGATTGAAAAATATGTTTGGAGTAGAGCGCCGCATATCGGTGGTGCTTGAAAGGCACTCTTGGAGCGTTAAGGGTTAATGAAATGTATGAGAGGAATTTGCTATATCAACATAGAATAATTTCTTTCATTGTTATATTTACAAACGAGGGAAAGAAAGCGAAGCTTAAAATATTCTATTTTTGAAAATGTAATTCTTTATTGCAATTATTACATACCACTTTTAAGTGTTTCTCTTTCTGAACATAATAAATCGTCGTTCATATTGTACATAATCACGTTATAATAAACATTCGTTAAACTAATAAAACGGTAACAAACAGTTAGACATTTAGAAATGACACTAGGTATCATCTCGCAGAAATTAATAAGTCAGACATGCAAAATATCATGCGCTTCATGCGCTTTAACTAAATAGATTGGAAACAAGCTTACCGAGAATTTCGATAACGTTTCGTTTCTGTAATTCTGGAAATAACCAATGCTTCCACCTTCGTACAAGGAAAGACTCAACTTTGTCGGAGGATAAGCACCCATAAAAGCAGGCATTAGCGAAGGTGGGTAAAACATGGCCTGAGTTTCCGACATTTTCTTGTTACTCACCACCATCCCGAATTGTTTATCATTTGCCGTAATTGAAGGAAAATTTTACATTTTATATCTTAATATAATTCTTGAGAAGGTTATCAGTCTGGTTATGTTTATCATGAACAAATGAACGAACATGTCCAGCTTTCTGTATAATGAAGTAAGTAAGTATGTATTAAGGAAATGAAAAATAATCAAAAGATATTTAACTAGACCTTTTATTTTGCTTAATTAAAATATATTTAAATAAACGAGAAATCTTTTACTTACTATCAAATCTAACGTAAGTGCAAGTGTTATTTTATAATATTACCTTAATTCCATAAATAAGGAATCTGAAGTTGTTACAACTACATAAATATTCATACCCTGTATTCAATTACGAAACTTACTGCAATTTGATATAGTATAGTTGTATCTAATAGATAGAAGGAAATGTAATTGGATTTTTTCATGTTTATATAAATTAAATATATTTTTCTTATTGCCAACATATGACATTTTTATCTATGTTTCTATAATTCATGTAATTATAATATATAACTTTCTTCGTTAATTATTTTCTTAAATATTTCACTTAGATTTCGAGAAAGATTTTAAGTTCAATATAAATCTATGGATCTAAATACAAAAATTTATTATAAATGTACTTCGTTGTTTTACTACTGTTAATATATGCTGAAGAATTAAGCTAGATTAAACAAGATTGATATTGTATTTATCGCAATCAGCCTTGACGAACTTGTATAGTTATTAGGTACAATAAAAGCTCAATAATAATTGTTAAGTTTCTAATGCGAGACTTAACCAGAAAAATAAGCTGTTAATTACATAGTACGAACAATTACCAACCCATATCATTTGAAGTCCTTCATTAGATTAATTCGATGACAATCTTAAAGACATCACTGCCATGTCACGTGGTGCGGCAGTTCCGGCCACAATGTATTCCGTTTTATCTCATGTCAGTAATGTCAGAGTATGACGCAGGATATCTTTCTCCATTTTTTATGTTGTCGGGTGTGATAATTCACTACAACAGTTTAGCGGTAAAACTATAATGGCGGAAATATATTTTATAATAAAGAAATACATACTAAAATGCATACAATAACTATTCTTCACCGGTCTCCTCAATTTTCGAGCTAAGAATATGCAGCTAATTATCCGTGTGTCCTCTGACTCGAGGACAATATATATATATATATATATATATATATATAACCAATTAACACAAACTCTTTTGTATCAATCATACCAATTTCAAGAATTCCATCTCTCCTAGTCACTTACCTCTGTTTACGTTAACTGACTCTTCTCACGAAATAGAGTATAGCGTTTATTTATAACTTTCCCTGTAAACTTCTATAAACCGCATTTCACACACACACACACACACACGCACGCACGCACGCACGCACGCACGCACACATACACACACACATACACACACACACACATCACGTATAATATAAATATATCCAGAAATAAACGAAAATATTAAATCTAATATAATTTTACCCCGAACTGAAGCTATAATTGTAGAAAACAGATTCACAAAATTTTGAAATCAAACCACAGATAATTGTTACTAATAATTGTTATAATTGTTACTGAGAATTTCTGATCGTATCAAGATTTGTAAGATAGAAATAATTTAGTGGAATTTAATTATTTTATAACACTGTTTTGTGTACTCATTAGCTGCAGTATTGCTGATTTGCAATCTACTGATATTTGCAGATATTGAAATCGTTGCGTTTTCAGATTTGATTATTTTTTTAATGTGGTCGTAATTGCAATATATCACGAATTTCATGATACATAACATATTTAGTCTATAAATAATACACGATCATTTGATACTAATTTGTTTTATGGCACGGTATTTGATAGATTGCCATAAATGCCTGTCATAATCAATTATAATCATTGATAAGAATAACGTATTTGAAAGATCCAGATGAAAAGAGATATTACTAAAATAATCTGAGACACTGCAGCCATAGTGTCACGTTTCTGGCTTTTTAATTGTAGAACCTGTTTTTAAAAAATTAGCTAGCTTTCAAAATGCCACAATTTATTGAAGTTATTAAATTTAAATTTAGTTAGACGATAATTATATTTTACAGTAGAAGCTACCTGTTATATTTATCATCTCATAATCTGTTTAGTTTTTTCAAGACGATGCTTCCTAGTTAAAAAAAGATTGACCTATCTATATTTATATAATTGCTATAATGGGCATATCATATGAGATTACCTGCAACTATAAATAGTTTTATCTTCATTAAATGGTGAATTTTTAAATATCTTAACTAATATTTATTCTTTTAGCTTCTACTAATCTTCATAGCTGTCATCGTTGATCGTAGAATTTACTCGCTGAACACCGAAGATTTTGCCGAGTATCTTAGCAGACTATATATCAAGCACGATAAGGAATAAATTGTATCAGCGGCGTAACGCCATGGCTATACTATCTCAGATTTTTTATCAAATTTTTTATAGATATAAAATATAACATGAGACATTAAGCAGTAAACCTGTAGACTATGTTTAAGTCAATAACTACTTAAATAATAGAGGTAAGCGGCTAAAACTTTGTCGAAATGCTTTTCCTATGAAGCTCTTTCGATTGATGTATTACAAGTTAAATTTACGCAGGGTATCCTAGTATTGGCGGTACAAATAAGGTAAGCGCTTCTACATGAAACAATAAGTCGAAAATGCAGAATAAATCTTTTTCGTTCCAAGTTTCGTTTCTGAGACAATCGAGTTTGAAGATTCTTCAAGTATACTTAAACTTAGTTGGTTCCAGACTGGATAGGAGCGAATAATCGATAAGAGATTATTTTGCGTGTAACAATAAGTCGAAATTGTCTCTGAAGAGATGTGAAATTCGAAAATTGATAATGACTTTTAAAATAAGCCCTTAAACGGAAAAATTGTATTCTATATTTTTCACTTATATTCTTTATCTTTCAACCTTCTGTTGGTTGTATATTCGTATCCAATCAGTAATTGGCCGTATTCACATGTACCGAACAAATTTTCAAATTTGATTTTCTTAAACACGGAGTCTCAAGCAAAATTAATTCCTTTTATGTTTGCAACTTGTTTCTCTCGTGTCAAATCACCTCCACATCATTTGTACCATCAGTACGGCAACTTCCTATATAATCATATCAATAACATTTTTATTCGGTATAAACTATTTTGCTACGTGATGCTTTTTTTATTTTTTAAATTATTTTTCTACGTGGAGTTCACTCGTACCTTCTTTGATTTGTATGCACCTACGTACCCAATGTATTTCTCTGTTTGTATTATGTCCGTTACTACGAAGAAATTTTCTATTATTATACATATTATTATATTACTATACATTACTATACATTTTATATCACTACGCATAAACATTTCTTCAATATTATCTTCTTCTTATAATACGTACGTTGCTAATTTCATATCGATATCGATTCGATATTTTTATTGTGCAAGTAACATGTGCATCCGTACAGATCGTTATTGATCTACTGTATTGTTAAACGAACGGCAGTTTTAATTCTTTCGAGATGAATATTTCTTTTAACAATGAAAGTTATAATATGATTGTATGCATTATAATACATTCACATTTGGAAAAATAAAAATCAAACAGAATTTTTAAAATGGGACGTGTATAGTTCTAGTTATAACAAGATTATAACTATATTCTACTGGCTCTCAGTGATGCTAAGAAAATTCTAACAATTTAACAGGCTCCCGAAAGTTATACGCACATGTGGACAATTAGTATCATTTCATATACATTTACCTCTGCAACTATCCAATTCTTCCCTCGATGCGTAATCATACGTTGCTTCACTTGAGATACGGAAGCATTTTTAATCTCCAGATCGTTAAGCATGTAGATATTAAGTTGTCAGATTGCGATGACTTATCCCTCCTCTTCCATTTATTTGGACCGTCGATTGTCTACAGTTATAAGTTATAAATTTTACTGCGTCTGTGATAAATTGGCAGTATCTTTCACTCAAGCGAGTCTACCACTGCTCTTCAACTATTACAGAAAAACAGACTAATAATTTTCCTTACACATCATTTTAAGAATTGGTTCTATATCATATAAAAAATGATTCGTATAAAAGTATACGTAGAAATATTTTTCCTCCTAACTCTGATCGTGCAGTCAACAAAAGCAAATTATGAATTGGAGTTGCTTCAAATTGTGAGTACTTAAACACATTTTTTGGATAAAATTGAATTATGGGAAATTTTAGTAAAATAAGTTTAACATAATAATACCTAATCTAACACTGTTAAATTTTACTTACAAATTTTTTACTCTAAGAATTCCAATTTCAATGTAACTTATCAAACATGCATTTACATTATACATGTAGTGTATCTGTTCTAAATGTCTACACATGCTTTATTTTTGTAAGTATAAAGCTTAATCATTTTTTCAAGTGAAACTATACATCTTTTATACTCCATTCGATGAATTTTTAACTCCTACAAAAATGTATTTAGGTACTTAAAGTGGAAAAATGATTGGTTTAAAAGATTTAAACGTTTTAAGGTAAAAGCAACTGCGTTGTCCTTCCTTGTTTTTTATACAACAAGTTTTATAAGATCAAAGTTAAAATAAAATAGCTCTCAAATTGCCCATTTTTCGGCCCAACAACTTTAATAGCTTTTTTCTAGAGAATTGAAAAGTGAATCGAATGGTGTATACAAAAATATGTAGTTTCATCTTAAAAAGTTATTTTGGAAATAAGAATACAAAAAAGATCAAAATATTCTATTACGTTTTCCCTATGATGTCAAACAAGTTTCGTCTTTCAACTTTCGTCTGAAACATTTTTTCATTTTTTTACATTTCTGATACTTATAAAAAGTACACATTTAAAACGGACATACTGTACATATACGTGATTTACATAGTAATATAAGGAAATCTTGAACTGTTTGATATACTTTGAAATGATTTTACTTTGCATTACGATTTCTTTCTGATGAGCTTTCAAAGAAACTCGTTTGCATTTATTGCGCTCGTGTTTCTATTGAAACACCTACATCGTGTTGGTCTTAAATTGTCTAAATAATTGCGCTATACAATATAATATAATTGTAATTTTTATATCGACTTCGGGAAAGTAGGAAGGTATCTCAATTCGATGGGTATTATCTTTTATAGTTTTTTTATATGCATCATATCCGAAACAAATTAACGAGCCGAGATGATTCCTCTTGCACCTTGTAGGATATATTCTCCCGTTGAACCTGTTACAATTATCAATTAATATTGTGAATCAACATTTGTTATGTCGGATGAAATGTGCTTGATCCGTATAAACAAGTATTATCTTTAGGAAATATAAATGTTTTAATTCGTGCAGTTCAATGTTTTCACTTACGTCCAATGCGTTTCCGTGTCTTCTCCTCCCTCCCCCTCTCTTTGTTATAAGACATAATACAGTGAACAGTTACATGTTTTTAATAAAAGTGAAAATTAATATATAAAAATACTTCATGCCAATACATTTAGTACTCGTTTCAATAATCCTTTTTAACAATTTTTAGGTATTTAGACATGGCGATCGCACACCAAATGAAGAAGAATTATACCCTACATTAGCCTATAATCCTATTTACGAATCGCTTGGTTATGGTCAATTAACTGAGGTAAGTACACGTTATATCTTAATGATATGTAAAATGACTTTAAAATAAAGTATAGTAATAGTAATGGACTTTTCACGTACAATCGTGCCGAACGATTCTTTCCCCTACACATTTTTATCATATTATCGAAATGAACATGAATACTTTGAAGAAAATGCAAAATTAATATTCTACAGTATTATTTTATCGCCTTGCATATCTAATCTAAAGCAAAGCTTAGATATCGGAGAGATTTATGATAAGATTCAAAGGATTACAAAATATTATTAAACGTAATGAAAACAGGCAGTTTTTTCATTGATCGTACGTCTCATAACTACATTGGTAGCAATTTATTACTTGGAAATATTTACTACAACTTAGAGTCTCCGATCAAGAACAAAAAGTCCTTTAATCGTTATGTTTTTTATTAACTCACATTACTTGGCATTTCTTTAAATAAATTGCAAGGGTTAGAAGTAAAATTAGCCTTACTATAAAGTCCTACGATGTAATATATTTTTATTCTGTTTGTTTTCATCTAGGTTGGGAAAATAAGAGAATTTCGTCTTGGCGCAATGTTGAGAAGACGGTATAGTACATTTCTGGGTGGTAGTCATAAATATGGTAGCGTTTTCGCTTACAGTTCGGACGTTGAGCGAACAAAAATGTCTCTGCAGCTAGTCTTGGCCGGTCTGTATCCTCCTACACTGAGCGAGGAAGGCCGAATACTGTTATCTCCAATAGCAGCGAATTACTTGCCGACAATTGTAGACAATCTACTGTTCCCAATAAGGTGTGCAGCGTAAGTATATAAATCAATTTAAACACATCGTTATTCCCGTTCTTGTGCCTATCGCAATGTAGGATTATACATTGATTTATTATAATACCTATGGAGAAATAATATTACAACGAACAGAAAAACAATGTGACAAAATGTTATACATATAACTGACATAAAGGGATGCGTATTATGACTCTTTGGTTGGTGAAGGGGTGAAGGAAATTGCAAGGTCATTTCTATCTTTCTAAATAGAAAGTCATCGAACGTGGCAGGTGTGTGTTTTTAATAAAATTGAAGTCTCATGTTTAATTACATCTTTGCTGTATATCAAATTTTTGTCTACATTAGCCATTAAGAAGTTTTGTTAGCAGGGGATAAATTTCATGTATGATTTTCTTTCTAAAATTGACATTATTAATGTTATATTATATTCTTTAAAACGTCGGTATTATGAAAGAAGTCGTTTCTCATAAAAACAATAATTGAAATGCCAGTAACCAATTGATTTTACTTATAATAGTTTCTTTTATTGCCAAAAACTGGCACTTAATTTTGATTTTATAAAACTAGGTAATTATAAAATAATTGAAGTTATTCAGAAAGTTATAGAATTTAATAGTGCGTATATTTTGTAATTAAAATTTATATCTAATGTTATTAAACAAACGATAGAAATTAAATACAGAATAAATAGGCAATACGTATTTACTTGTTATTTAACTTCTTAAGAACTAAGTTCCCTTCTTATATATCCATACGTAATCTATGTCTTATATACCCAGTCTTAAATATCTTAGACATCTTGTATCAGTCTTAGAATGAATATCATATGAATATATATATATATATATATATATATATATATATATATATATATATATATATATATATATATATATATATATATATATATATATATATATATATATATATATATATATATATATATATATATATATATATATATATATATATATATATATATATATATATATATATATATATATATATATATATATATATATATATATATATATATATATATATATATATATATATATATATATATATATATATATATATATATATATATATATATATATATATATATATATATATATATATATATATATATATATATATATATATATATATATATATATATATATATATATATATATATATATATATATATATATATATATATATATATATATATATATATATATATATATATATATATATATATATATATATATATATATATATATATATATATATATATATATATATATATATATATATATATATATATATATTTTTGTTTTATTTGGATATTTTGTATGGGGAACAAATAACAAATTGTAATATGACTTTCAGATTTCAGATGCAGCTATTATTATGTATCCAAGATGTTTTCTTGAATTTTTCATTTGATTATAATTATAGTATAAAAAATGTTTGTTTCAGTTTCCGCGATGAATATCGTAAAACGAAAAATTCACCTTTGATTCAGAAGAAAATATCGCAGAACAAACGACTTTTTGAGTATCTTGCAATGCACACTGGTTTAAACATGACATCAGATCCGATTTACTCAACTTATGTACTACACATCCTCTTTACGACACAGGTATGCTTTAACTTCAGTTCAAAATTTTGATTTATTCGTTTATTTTATTTTCAGTTGCACAATTTTGCAATTATACATTAGTCACATAAATGTTTATATGAACATTTTTCCTAATTATTTTATCGCCTGAAAAGTACGATCACAATATTTTTACACCATGACGCAAAAATTATACGCGTTCATAATTTCACCGGTATGAAAATACACATAAAAGGCGTAAATAAAATAGGCAACTAAAACCGTGTAATGTTCATCCTATAGGCTATGTTATTATATATGAACTATAAAATTATTATAGTATATTAATACATTAGCAATAATATATTAATCCTACGTTAATATTAATCGTAATAATATTCGATATCGTAAATGATCCTACATATTGTAACAAAATTCGCAGATTAAGTATTAAACTTAGCTACTCGGAGAAAAGAATCTGAAAAATGTATTTTTTTCTTGTAGAAAATTACATTTTACCATAACAACGCATACAATTTTACTGCATAATATATTTTACGTTTTTACAATCTGTTAATTGTCTTCGTATGTCACATTTCATTCAATTTTGTATAAAATAATTAATCACGCAGTATAAATATACAGAATTCATTGCATTTTTATAATCATAATTTTATTGTCGTATTGTCGGTAACGAACAGGTTCCAATTACTGAAAATTTTTGAATTACAGAAAAGTATGAACATTACCCTCCCCAAGTGGGCAACCGAAGATGTACAAAGGAAAATAATGCCACTTGTAAAATTGGAGTATGATATTCAATCTTATAACACGTTACTGAAGCGACTAAATGGAGGTTTTCTTTTAAAGGAATTCATTAAAAACATGGATATGAAGAAAGATATAAGGTCTCCGAAGATTTATGTATATAGCGGGCATGAAATAAACATCGCAGCTTTTGCCAGAGCACACAATTTAATTAAACCTGAAATCCCCAGTTTTGGATCTGCAATTATGGTTGAAACATTACGAAACAGCATTGGCCAAAAATTTGTTAAGGTACGTTTTGTTAAACTATATAAAATAAAAGTTTACTTGAAATGTGTTGAAATTAACTGTACATGGTGACAAAGAAATAGATGGTCAAGCTTTGGTGCCGTATTCTACTGTTCCTAAGGATAAGAGAAGATCACGTAAGTATAACTTTGAAAACTCTTCCTTTCCGGGATATGGACACTTTTGGTAATGGCGTGTGGATTTTCATTCATCCATATAGATGTTGGTTATGAAAATCGACAGTAGCACCTTGACCGTGTCTACAAATTCATTTTTACAGGTACATATCATTAACAAAATATCACTCGTAGTTGATAATCCGGTGGCAGAACTTCTTGTCCTCGCATGTATAGGTAAATATTTAGAAAGTGGATGACTTTACCGACCTCAGTGACCTTATAATATTTTGTCGAGCTCAACATACTGAACAGTTTCTCCCTATACGTGTTACAGTCGTTTAGTTTCAGTTTCCGAGATATTCGCAAAAGCCTTTAGTTCAATTTATGTTACGATTACTGCTTATTCTGTCATAGACAGACGCTTCAGGGTCTCCTCATTTTTATATAAACGAACTCGTCTCATTTTCAATAATTCTTTTCAACTCACGCAAGAGAGAAGAATCAACGGGTTAGATAATTATTCAGCCGTCGCGCTGTGAAGCTACTGTGAAATAAGTTGAAGTATTAAACAATAAGACAGGTACAATTCATATTAAGCTTCATGTTATATTACCGTTACTCGAAATCGGAAACACTTCAATCATGATATTGAAAACAGAGGCTATTCGATTATCAAAATCATACCGTCGCCGAAACAGAAACTTTTGCTAATATCTTCGAAACTAAAACCAAGCGAATGTAACACGTATAAGGAAAGAATCTTCAGAATGTTCACCTTAACGACATATTTAAAAACCGTTCACATTATAATTATTGCTGAATCTGATAAGGATATTGTGATATTCTTTCACAAAATTTGCCGTATTGTATCACGAAAAACTAAACTTTGTTAAACGAAAACTTTGTTTTCTACTGAGTTTTGGATTCACTTCGACGCGTTTAATTATCTGATCTCCAACTTTAGTTGTTCGAACTTGTCTGTTTCGCCTTCGGTTAATTGTAGCAGGAGAAAAAGATGCAGATTCCCTAAGTCTACGATACGCCAAAGCAAAAGTATTTGTAACCGAACATCGTCTCTAAGAAAAAATCTGCTGATGGAGATGCTAAAATTCTCTGGCGTTCCCGTTAGCTCGTCCATATGCAAACTGAATATCTGCTCACTCGATAGCAGGATAAATCATTCTGATAGTACTTGCCTCTTCACTGTGACATTATGACACGTTTAGATATCCACTGATCTACCATAAAACACGCTGCCTTCAATATCAACGTAAAAAAAGCTTGCCCTAACACATTTACTTCTAGCGAAAGAAATGATGACAATATTTGAAATTCTACCTCTGACAATTAGTCTAGTGTGTATATCTCGGAAAGGAAGAGTTTCTCAACTATTGTTTATACAACCTTTTCTTATTCGTAGAAACAGTGGAATACCGTACCAAAATTTGGCCACTTACTCCTTGTCACCCTCTATACAACATCATGCGCTGTTCGAGTTCCAGTGTTTGTTCTTAAATAATGTTTGTCGTGTACGGTTCATGTAAAATCTAATCTTATAAATTTCGTTGACAGATATTACACTGGAGTGGCGTTACGGAAGAGTTGATCACTTATACGATTCCCAAATGTGGTGAAATATGTCCATATGAGCAGTACGTAAGACTTATGCAACATGTTATCCCTTCGAAAGAAGAATCAGATTGCTTATGGAATAGTACGTCAAAGGAAATGTTACGTCTGTATTACGCAGGACAATTGAATCTACCTAAAATATAAAAGTATGTTTTGAATTTCGAAATTCCGGCTTGAAAAGACATTTATGAAAGCCTTTATACCAAAATAACTGCTTATTCTACGCCTGCTACTTGAAACCAAATTACTTTGTTACAAGCCAACGTCTAGTATAACATCTCCGTAAGTGTAATGGAACGCATCAGGCTTTTTTAACGTAAATGTCTGATGGCTTGCCTGGATATATATCGTGTGACATCTTTTACTATTTACTGTTTACTATTTACAATCTACATTGATTCAATAAGTTTGATTCAAGATAAAGATAATTTACCAATTATTTATCACGTATTTAGAAAATCCTATGGTAAAGAAATTACTTATTGTAAAAATAATTATTGATCTAATCTCCGTTCTGCACAAATATTGGTGGCTCGGTAATCCTGGCTAGCCAAAGCGTTGACAAAGAGAAAAGCAGGAAAGAAGTTAATACTCTTACATATTTTTGTTATCTTATTACTGTTATTAAAAGCAATTAATTTACTATGTTTTATGTATATATAATCCAGTTAGGTTACAAATAATTATATTTATAATTTATTTATTTATATCCTCTCTCATTCCCCCTCTCCTCTTTCTTATTATTTCGTGTTTATTTATTTAGCAATAATAAGTAACTAAATTTCTTTCAATGATATTGTGCGGAAAGTTATATCGTATTGCGCCACACAACTACAGTTCATACTTTATCGTATGTGTCATACATCATATAACATAATGTTCTGTTAATGTATATTATTTATTTTCATCTATGATCTTACGAGCTTTCACGAGCTTTGTCGTACTAGATTAAACCATATCGTGCAACGAGGTGCACAAGACGCCGCACCTGGTCGACGTGCAAATTGTTTCCGTTCTATTAATAAATGTTGCTATCTTAGCAAATGTCTTGCATTACTTCCGCAATATTACAACTTGTCCCCTTCCACTCGATAACGCTGAAAATTTAAATGAATTCAAGATAATGAAAGACACTATACACTGACTTTGATATTTTTGCACCACAGCGTCGAAGTAGTGTCAAAACTAATTTGTTTATTTGTTAGACCGATCGTCTTAAACTAACGATCACTGACCATAGGAGCTCAGAAGAAAGAAATATTGGAAAATTTGTGTTTTATTTATATTCGACGACCGAAACCTCGAGATTAAGAAGGCTAAACATACATTTTTATTATTTTAAAACAACAAACCGAATGAAAAGATGGCGCTTATATTGCATGCGCATAATCCAAACAAAAATTTGTCGTTTGAAATTTATAACCGCTACTATGTATAATATATCATGGGTTTCATGATACAGTGTATTTTATCTGTCTATAAATTCACATTGACTTACCGTTAATTTAATGCACGATACTGTATGCGATAAATAGTTATAGATAGGCATTATTGCCATAGATAGATATTAATGATAATAGATTCTTTCTCTTACCGATAAGGATAATGTATTTGAAAGAGACAGGTACGACAAGATATTGGTCAATCCTTTCTGTTTTCATCAAAACGAGCAGTAATATTTTATTATTGAATGTTAAGTGAAATATCGAGATAGTAATGAGTCACACCACACTGTATGCAGATAAAGACAGACATCTGGATTGACAAACCATTAATATCATTAGCAAACAAATTATATAGGAAAAATTTCAAGAAATATGTTTCGAAAAAAGTTCTGCAGAATATATTCAACTCAATAAATTCTAAAAACTATAAACTCTACAATAATTATTTATTTATTTGAAATATATTTATGTTTCAACATGGGATTTTAGAATCAGCAAATACATTTTATAGGATTAGTTATATTATCAACAAAAAATTATTTTTAGTATTAATGTAAACCATGGACATCCTGTAAACTAATTGTGTGAGTGTTATGAGTAAAGACGAATATCTGTTCATCTATTTACCAAACTGTTTGATCAGATTTCGTAATTAATATTGCGATGTATGATGTGTTCATTTATCTATGTAATTATCAAATTTTTCAAACGTTTCCCTTCAAGTGCAATCAGAAATGCCTCCACTTGAGATACGGAAGTAATTTTGCTCTCATAATTGGTTAAGTATGTCATGTTAATTTATCAGATTGCGACGATTTATCCCCCTCTTCCATTTATTTGAACAATTGGTTGCCTGGAGCAATAGACTATAAATTTGATTGCGTTCGCGGTAAATAGATAGTATCTTCCGCTCAGCATTCTGTCCCATCCTACTTTTTTTCATATAAAAACAAACTAATATTCTTTCTTAATTGTTATCAACATCATTTTGCGAGTTATCTCTGTATCATACAAAAAATGATTCGTATAAAAGTATGCGTACAATTATTTTGGTTCTTTTTGATCCTGCAGACAACAAAGTCGAAGAAAGAAGATTATGAAGTGGAGTTGGTGCAAGTTGTAAGTAGCTAAACATTTTATAATTAATTAAAATTCAGTTGCGAGATGTTTTATAAAATAACTGTAACGCAATAATGTGTAATCATGAAACATATGTGTGTATATATTTGTTTTAGCATTTTTTAATTTTACTCTTAAAATATTAAATTCTGAAAATTCCAATTTTTCGATATATATGTAGTTTACATAGTAATATACAAAAATTTCCAATTTTGTATAATATACTTCTAAACGATATTTTTTTATAGTGCTGTGTCTTCTAACGAAATTTGTTTCGTGTTTCTATTAGTAAATTTAGGTATTTAGAATAAAGTATTTTTTGATTTTTCGATTTATTAATAACCTTTCAACTATTATTCCAACGTATTAAATTTGTTTCTCAGAATTGAATTTAATACGAAACAAATTCAATAGCTCCAATAGGAATGGACGTTAAATATGCGCGCCATGTTTACACATAATTAATTTTTATCATAATAAATAAATAGAAAAAAGTTCTGTTTCATAAATAAGATTCGCAACAATTGAAGGGAGTATTTACATAGATTGCATAGTTTATAGCATGCCATTTATAGGTTATACCATTTATTACTTAAGTGTAACAAGATATCAGTCGCAAAATAGTGCTATTTACAAAACATACATGTAATAACATGTAACTTGTGATAAATGTTAAAAGATATAAGATTTATATTCTATATAGTAGTAGAAACTGCAACAAGTAAATTGTCCGCATCTTATTTCAATTTAAGTAAAAGATTTTATATATAACGTTCGACACAATTTCTTACCGATTATACTATAGGCACATTGATGTATTGAATAAATTGATCAATGCCCAAGAAAAGACAAATGCAATATTTTTTGTTGTTCCGATAAAGAAAACAGCTTGACAAATCACAAAATTAAGATAATATTGAAAATGAAAACAATATTCAAATAAGAAAATAATATTGTTTCAAATTTTCAGACATGTTTTCGTTAAAAAATTGTGAAAAGAAAAGTTGATTTCTATGTTGTTTCGAACATTAAAAGTAGCTCTTTGCATTTAAGAAATTATAATTAAAAGGTTTAAAATTTCGTGAATAAGAGCGGAAAATATCATATTCATTTAGTTAATAGTGTTACAAATAAAGAATGATTTAAGCAGTTCATAATATAATACAGCAATGGATAATGCAGGAAACTACTGTTCCAATCACTTGTATCATAACACGGTTGAAGAAATTATCGATACACGATATCTGGTTCTATATGTTATTGATTATTCCATAGTCTCAACGCAAATCATCGCTGTAATGAATCAGTAATATCACATGAGTATCGAAAATGATAAGGAAATCGGGTGACCCCCAAACCAAAGCATCGAATGTGTGGTCTATCGCGTACTTAATCAATGATAATACTAAAAGAAAAGTAATAAATAAATAACTTTTTATTGCTACAAGTAAAATAATGTAGAACCGTCTATTTTATAAAATTCGATTCAAGCCACCACGAATAAATGCAATTGGTAAAGAATCAATCGCAAAACCTATACTACCATGTTACAATAAAACAGATTTCTTGTAAATTTTTTACATGCTTTCTTACAATTTTCATACAATTTTCATGTATCTGTATAAATAGGTATTTCCTAACAAATTGTTAGAAAGTAAAAGAAAATACGTGTTCAATACGTTCAAAACACGTGTAATTCAAATATGTATAATACTTATAATGGCCGACACTGTTTCTTGTCGGTCGATCACGCGAAAAATTGGCGGAAAATATGTAAAGTAAACAGTGTAACATCTGTCATGTAGATAGTATTTGTTACAATTTAATTGTAAATTATAGGTCGTTGATCAACAAAAGATGACATATCGTCTGAAATTTAAGAATCAGTAAACAAATGACGATTCAAAACGACACATCTTGCCGATAAGCTAATCGACTTTGCGTAAATTATGAAAATATGTTTTCAGAATAATCATATCTTATCGCTTTATTACAATATACACATGTTATAGTTTCCTTTTGGCAGTAAAAATGTGTTCAACTGAAATGATTAAACAAATTTGTGAGCTCCATCAACTTCATAAAAATTTCGGAAAAGTTTCAAACAGTTAAAGAATACCTGTGTGCTTCGTTAAATACATGGTCAAAAATAGGTATTAGGCAAGGAGAACATTTTTATTGACTTGAAAAGAGGTTTTATTGAAAAAAGGAATAAGATGTTTAAAGTCGAGAAATGGGAGAATAACTATGACAAAGTAACGCAAAAAGTTGAAACTTCCTTACTCAGTTCGAACTATGTAAAGAATGCTAAAATCACTGAACTTTGAATTAAAAAAAAGAAAGAAAAGAAAAAGAAAAAGAATGGGAAAGAAGATATCTTTATCGAAACAACGAGGAATATTGCATACGTCTTTTCTCGTACGTGTGCAATGTACATATAGTATAATCGGTAAAAAATTGTGTGATCCACTATACAATCCCTGACAAAAAGTTTCCGACCAGACACAGTAATACAAAATTTGCTCCAAACATTCATGTTTTAAAATAATGAAATATTATCGTGTATAGTTAATGATGTAGCGCAACAATACAATTATAATACCATCGAGTTTTCAAAAATAGTTTAAGTGATCGACAACAGTTTAGAAACAAGCAAAAAGGAAATTTTTTTTTATTTATTTGTTGAAATTACAATCAATTCTCGCGTTGAGAATTTTCAGTAATTTTTCTGGCGTGGCGCAGTGACATGGCTGTTTATTTATAATAAGTTAATGTTTATTATAGATAAGTATAATTTATAAGTATTATAAGTAAGTGCATATGCTTAATTTGGATAACTAAATGAATCTAGCGGCAAAAAGGAAATGATGCCAAATTTTTTCCTTTTTTCCCCTTTCTTTAAAAGTCAGCGCGCTTTATTATGCCTGCGAATCGTTAGTCGGACACTCAAAAGTCAAGCGCCGTCACCTCAGAACCTGTCGCTATCCGATGAGACCTATACGTAGAGAACATTCTCCTTCTTCGAAACATGTACTCACCTCTTCTACTTATTCTCTCCACCCCCCTTTTTCTCGAAAAAATGGCAAGTCAGAAAATTCGAGCAAAATTCGGAAGCAATTTTGTCTAATCCTCCAGTAATTTGTCCAACTTCAACCATTTCCTCTACCATTAGTCTGTAATAGAACTTCAATAAGTAAACTAATTTCTTCTATAAGCCTACACGCTTATCCTAGTTTTTTCCGGACCGTTCCTACACTTCAAAATGTTTCGATTGCATTATATGTCGTACAACGACAAATTAAATTAAATTAATATAAAGTAAATAACAACAAAATAACAGAAAATTCCATTTATTATGAAAGAGAAGCAAGAAAAGGAACAAAATGTTACGCGAAGAAGTGGATGCTACTTATAGAAATCATGGAAAAAATTAGGAATAAGTGAAATAATTTCCTCAGAAATTAGAATTAACGAATCTGATTAGAATTTCTTTCTAGGATTTCCGTATAATATTATGTTTTCCCTTTTGCTTCTCTTGCATAAGAAGTTTGTGCTATTTTACTGTTATTTACTTAATACGAGGTCTCCCTTATTTTCTCATCACTTTATATACATGAAGTGCCTGATCGATAACTTCTTGCCAAGTGTTGTAAAAGTAGCTTAATTAATTAATGTTGTGAATAGAACTATGGAATATATGCAATAAGAAAGTTGACAAAATACTGGCTGATTCTAAATGCGCTTCAAAAGTGATTGAAGACTTATAATACATTAGGAATTATAATTTTCATAAAAAAAATATTTGGATATACAAACAAATTGATATATACAGATGTTTTACATTAACACATTTAGTATCCGTTTCAATAATCTTTTTTACGAAATTTGCAGGTGTTTAGACATGGTGATCGAACACCAACTAAATCAGAATTATATAAAAAGTTAGCCTATAATCCTATTTACGACTCGCTTGGTTATGGTCAGTTAACCGAGGTAAGTACATATTATATTCTAATAATTCATAAAGTGACTTTTTCGATGAAATATAGTAATATAGTAATAGATTTTTTATTTTTATGCTTTTTCTTTATCTACGTAAGGTACGATTTCTGGAAACTAATTTAGATATTGTAATTTGAATTCAACTTTAGCCGTACGTAAAGTACAGCAAAGTACTGGAAAAGTATTTCTGTTTCTTGCGGAAAATCATTTCAACGAGTGGAATCTTCTCTTAAAAGTCTCGCGATTTATTGCTATGTCGTATATATTATATACATTATGTACTTCCTTCTCACTTATCACCTTATTATAAAGGTATAATTATATTAACTATATATATGTCGGAGATGAAAGAACACCGGAGCCTTTGGAATTTCGGATAATCCATCAACATTGTAATCTAGAGTCTACTATAGCTGTAATTAAACAATTGTAGTTATTCAATCCGATTGTAATTGTTCGCGAGTTGTGATAATGAGCTTGGGCTCGAGGCGACAGTCAATCGCCGAACGTAGCCGCGGTCACGGGATGAACGCTTTGTCTAACAGAGGTATGGAGTTTTGTAAAGAATCTTCCTCCATAATCAGATTGGTAGCTGCGCACCATTGGAGTCGAAAGATTGTTAGGTTCCACACTCGATTTTTGCACTAGCGACGGAATTAACTCGCGCACGATGGTCGTAAGCTCTTGCACTGTTATAACCGGCACAGATCCCACTTCTGATGTCGGGTTTACATTACAATCAGGATTAGGGGCGTGAAAAGAATCTTCGTTATGGATTACACGTGTCGCTGTCCAATAAAGAAGACTTCGACTAATGCAAATACGATTATCATAGAACTGGACAAGTAACCGTGGTAATTAAATACTCGAGAAACTAATGACAATGATCTTAGGTTCAATGACGAATCCGCGGTCGACGAGATGATAGATGAACGTGCTCACAAAATCTAAGTCGGACGCGTAATAT